GATGGAGGCTGCCCTCACCCCCTGCTCACTTCTCCTGTTGTTTCTCAGCTGCTTTGGGTGGTGAACGTGGACAGCAGAACAGCCCAACAGCCAGGTCTGAGACTTGACTGGTCGTTGCTGCTGGTCGTTGCTGCTAAGTGAGACTTGAACTTCCTGCTGTGTTTTTCCAAGGCTCATCTGAACTCTGCAGCTCTCACCAGAGCTGGGTGTGTGGTGGCCACTGGCTTTTGGAGCCCTTCTAAAAGCACAGGACCAAGCACCTTCCCAGAGCAACTCCTTGCATGACAGCAAATTTTCCTCATGTTTTTATGATATAAATCATGGGTGTGAGGCACGTTGTCCTTGTACTTTGCCAGCTGGCTTCACTTTCAGGGATTTTTTTTTTTTTCCACTCAAGTTTCTCAGTTACCAGGCTTAACGTGCACTTTCTATCTGGCTCTTGAGAAGTCCTTTCATCCCACCTCTCCTGACAGTGCTGCCTGGTTCTGCTGTGCACGTGGAACCTCTTACTCTGCTCAGCTGGGGGCTGCCATCGCTGCAGGCAGCCAGAGACATTTCCTAGGGAGATGGAAGACATGGGTTGGAATCCCTTCAGACAGGACATGGAAAACCACCAGCATTTAAAAAAGCGCTTCTCAAAGAAGACACAAGGTAGAGGCTAGTCAGCTAGAAAGAACAGGGTAGTAGTATTTGCTTTGCTTGATTTGTTTCATTACTGGGAAAATAGTTTGTAATTAGTAATGCAGTAGCCTTTCTCCCACCCTTTCCCAAAGCCAACCACAAATAAACTTGATAGTCCAAAGGCTGGTTTTATTTCTTGGAGATAATTTCCTGGAGATTATTTCGTGCTGCACTTTTGTCCAATAATGCAGACACTGCCACTGCCTCCTGGATGGGGGGAGATAGTTCTTGGGGATGTAGGTCACTGTCAGTTAACAGGTCTTTTTTTTATTATTAATATTATTTAGCAAAGGGATTTTTGTACAAGACCTCCTGCTGGTCATGATTTGATCAGGATTTGCACCCAAAATGTCATGTCACCTTCTAGAGACCACTTAAAACAAGCAAAGCAAAACAAACGCCCCAAACATTTTTTTTTTACGTAGGTGTTCCTGGACTCTTGTACAATTCCTTGGCACTTAACTGCTGACTGGCAAGTGGGAAACTGGAAACATTATTAGATAGTCAGCTGTTAATGCCTCCAAACTCCAAGGGACTGTGCAGTTTAAACTCTTTTGGGATGGTGTCTTCCTCCAGCATTTTCCTAACAGAGGTAGACTGACACGCAGAGCCAGGAGTGATGCAGGGTAGAGGTGTTGGAGCTTCCCTGCTCCTTAGCAAATGTCCACTGTGGCAGAGTGAATTAATTCATGAGCCTGCTCTTACATTACTAGCATTCATTTTTTTCCTGTTGCAGCAAAAACTCTGGAAACATCCTCAGCTGTGTGTCTGCTGAGGGATCAGGTCTGTTGACAGCATTTACTTTCTTTATAAATGCTCAATTCCCTCTGCTCTGCAGAGGCAAACAAAGAGTAAAAAGATTTTGCTCTGTGTGTCTGAAAGCCAGCCGGGTTCTCTCTGATTGATTAGCCACAGCAGTGATCTCTGTGGGCACAGGGCTTCTCAGTTGCTTGCCATCATGACTCCATCCGACCTAGAGTCAGCCACATTTACAAACTGTGGGAAAATTGCTTTGTTTCAGTGTTGTCTGTGGGAACAGGAGAAGGAGTAGCAACCATCTGCCCTCATTAGGATGCTCTGTGTGCAAACCCAACTTTTTCAGACCCTGTTTCCTTGGTAAATATTAAAATATAAGTAAACATGAAATATCATTGTCTTCATCCTAGCTTTTGTCCTCTGCCCCAGCCCCTGTTTCTACAGCTGTAGGACACACTTTTCTCCAGTCAGCTACTCCTGGTTATCCACAATAGTATTTTCAATACTGGCGCCTTCTTTGTGGTATCTAAGTGCTTTTCAGGGAGTGATTTTTTTTTTTTTTTAAGGTAAATTTTGCAAGTATTGCTGATACTGGAGTCAAGCAACAGAATTCCTGTTTCAAAGTGTGAACTGCTCCATGCCACGTGCCCAGCCTGAGCCAACTGCCCTCTGCAGATAGCTTGTACACTGACACTCCCATTTCATTACCTCTTAATTGCGAAATACGACCATATAGGGAAGATCTAACACAGGTCACTGACTGACCAGTTGGCTACAGGTACTTCATTTGTTGTCCACTGGCAGTTGCACTCCTAACCTCTGACTTACCTGTTCATGTTCTTAGGGCCATCAAATAGTGAAGGAGCTGGCAAAGTCAGCCTCTTGAAGAAAGTACCAGCACTAAAGGATGGAGACTTCACCCTAGCAGAATGGTAAGATCTTGGTCCTTGGACCTCCTTGGGTACCAGGAATCTGTGCAGCATTCAGGAGTTGTCATTCCTGC